CATTTGTCCAAGGTCACACAGCTAGTAAATGGCAGAGCTGGGATTTGAAACTAGTTGCCAGTCATGTCTTTTTTTTTTTTTTTTTTTAAGGGTCTCACTGTGTTGTCCAGGCTAGTCTCGTGCTTCTGACCTCAAGCACTCCTCCTGTCTCAGCCTCCCAAAGTGTTGGGATTACCAGCGTGAACCATTGTGTCCAGTCGGTCCTGTCTTTTTAACCACTGCCCTGTGTTGCCTTTCTGAAGGCTGTAAGAGTGATGACATGGGCAAATCTGCTTTTTAAATAGACAATACTGGCTGGCATGCAGCGCGTGGATTTGAGGGGTAAAGAGGCCGAAAGGCCCGCCAGGCTGTAAGTCGGATGCTTACCTTACGGCTGTTGAGAGCATGACCACTGAGGAAGCACCTCTTACAAGGACCTCGATACTAACACATGCCTGTGGCTCCTCCGATATTATTGTCACCTTGTCTCATCTTGAAAAGAGAATTCTAGATTTGGGGAGATGTCCCAGTGGTACCATCTCATAGAGATGCTTGAAGACAAGTTAAAGGATCCTAATAGAAGGAGCAGGCTGGAATTTGGCTACACACAGGCATCAGGTTCAACGTAAATGGGAAAGAGAAAAAATGGGTTGTTCCCAAAGGACCTCAAACTCCATGTCTGTCTGAACTCTCAGGTCTTCTCCTTTCTCTTTTTCTTTTTTTTTAAAGCGGCAGTGTCTATTTTCTTCCCCCATAAGCCCTTAAAAATAATAGATAAAATTCTGGTGTGTTATCATGGGCCAGCTCTGTGTAAGCACTGAGATCATCTCACTTAACGCCTAGAACCCCTGTGGAGGTTGGTCTTATTAGCGTCTTATTAGCAATGGGGAAGCTGAGGGTCAGAGTGGTTTCACAACTTGCCAGACGTCATGCAGCTAGAAAGGAGTAGAACTGGTTTTTGTGAGTCCAGAGCCTACTCCTTGTCCAGTCTTCACCTCCTCTCAGACACTCCATGGAAACAACAACACAGAGGCATTCCTTGGGGACAGCCTTGTCCTGTGTCTGGAGGAATTCCTTCCTGTAGAGAGTCCCCCTTCACAGGACCATTTCCGTGGCTGGGTATGTGGTGGTCCAGCCTCGCTTCCACGTCGTTCCTCGCGTTCCTTTGTGGCTTAGTGAAAGCATCCTGCCTTCCGCCCCTCAATCCTGGTGGCACTCAGAAGGTTCTGTTTTGAGTTCCAGCAGCAATCACCCCCTTGTGGGAAAGGCCTGTCGGGTGGGCTGGCCAGGTTGGTGTGTGCGTCCTGTGCTCTTGGCTCTCGAGGTGGTGTGTCAAAGATCTTTGTTTTTAGTCATAATATCTCACATTTTTTTCTTTCCATGCTGATCAGCATGAGGTAGCTGGGGGTGGCAGCGAATCTTCCTTTAATTTCTTCTGTGACGGATTATTAGTTGAATTAAAATGACACTTAATTTGCACATGTGCCCTGAGGCTTTTAAATATCAAGCTCATTTGATGATTGTTGGAAATCAGTTTGGACTCCGTAGTATGTTCAATGAGTTGGACTCATGAAGCCCCATGGACCCCATTGCCCGTTAACAGGGGCTAAAGTCCAAAAATTAGAATGATGAGTTCAGCTCCATACTCTTAATTTCTTCCTTTTAAAAAAAATCAATTTTCTTAATAATTGACTCAAGGAAGCTTTGAAAATTTTTGCTTAAAAGGGAAGAAGACAGTACAGATGATGATTTTTTGGTCCCCACCTCTCAGCTTGTTCCTCTCATGGAGCCTGCCCTCCCCTTTCTCAGCCCACGTGCCTTTCCTTTTTTTTTTTTANTTGAGACGGAGTCTCACTCTGTCGCCCAGGCTGGAGCGCAGTGGCGCCATCTCAGCTCACTGCAACCTGTGCAACGCAGGCTCAAGTGATTATCCTGCCTCAGCCTCCCAAGTAGCTGGGATTACAGGCATGCGCCACCACTCCTGGCTAATTTTTGTATTCTTAGTAGAGATGGGGTTTCACCATGTTGGTCAGGCTGGTCTTGAACTCCTGACCTCAAGTAATCTGTCTGCTTTGGCCTCCCAAAGTGCTGAGATTATAGACGTGAGCCACCTTGCCCAGCCCACTCATGTAATGCAAAGAAGAAATGCTTGTTCAACAGAAGTAGCTTTGAGTAAGTTTCAGGATTCAGACTTGAAGCTGAGCATAACCAGAAAGCTCTACCTGTGAACTTTTTTTTGGGTTTCCTTCAGAAGAGAAGTGAGAGAAGAAATAATTCTACTCTGGGGAAATGCATAATTTAGAAGCTGTCTGCATGTATAAGAAAACAGACTCTGTATCTGCTCTCTAAACTGAGACTGGCAGCCAGGGTCATTGTTTCTTTTTCTCCCCTCGGTGTTTGTGTAAGACGGATGGGCCTGGTGCTCTGTGTGCTCCCCAGCAGGTAGCTAAGGCTGTGGACTCGAGCAGTATTTGGCCTGGGGGAAGTCTACTACTTATTTTCCCCTGCCTGTCTTTCCTGTTTCCTTACTGTAACTCACCACCCCTTCCTTTCCTGGACGTGCTGTCTCTCCTGAGAATGGAACAGAAATATAAGAAAGGTTGAAGGGCCAGGCGCAGTGGCTCACGCCTGTAATCCCAGCACTTTGGGAGGCCGAGATGGGTTGCTCACCTGACGTCAGGAGTTCAAGACCAGCCTGGCCAACACGGCAAAAATCCCATCTCTACCAAAAATAAAAAAATTAGCCGGGTGTGGTGGTGGGTACTTGTAATCTCAGCTACTTGGGAGGCTAAGGCAGGAGGGTTGCCTGAACTTGGGAGGCGAAGGTTGCAGTGAGCCAAGATCGTGCTGCTGCACTCCAGCCTGGATGACAGAGTGAGACTCTTGTCTCAAAAAAAAAAAAAAAAGAAATTGAAGGTATTTCAGGAAACTCCAAACAGGGTCCTTGGCTCTGTTTACCACCTTTCTACCTATAACACTCTGGCACCCAACAGCATTGGCCTTCTTTGGGCTGTTTTGTCACCTTACCTGCTACCCAGAGTGTGCCCAGGGTGTGATGAAGGGGTTCTTTTTTGTTTTTTGAGACGGAGTTTCGCTCTTGTTACCCAGGCTGGAGTGCAATGGCACGATCTCGGCTCACCGCAACCTCCGCCTCCTGGGTTCAGGCAATTCTCCTGCCCCTGCCTCCTGAGTAGCTGGGATTACAGGCACGCGCCACCATGCCCAGCTAATTTTTTTTGTATTTTTAGTAGAGACGAGGTTTCACCATGTTGACCAGGATGGTCTCGATCTCTTGACCTCGTGATCCACCCGCCTCGGCCTCCCACAGTGCTGGGATTACAGGCGTGAGCCACCGCGCCCGGCGAAGGGGTTCTTGATCCAAAAGTTTATATATTTTCATCTGGTCTGCTATGATGGCCAGGCCTAACTCTGAAGCAAAGCTGAGAGAATTATTTCCCACTTCCGTTTCCTTCAAGTGTTGCTATAATGTATACTGTCACCTGATTTTACATCTTTAAAACTGGAGGTGGGAGGCTGAGCAGGGAAGACATCATACCTTGGCCCCCTTAGGTCTGAATCCCATCAACAGTCATTTAGCGCAAGTATAATTGGTCACCTTGCATGTGGCGCCTCCTCTGCAGCTCAGGGCTGCAGAAGAGAAGCGCTCTTGGGTGATAAGGGGTGGTGACTGCTATTTTCCTTCAGGCTAGTGCCAGGTAGAGATGTTGGCCACTCAGGAAGATACAAAGTGTCCCCGAAGTACGGCGGCCTCAGTGACTGCCGTGGTGGGAAGTATTCCAGGGAAGACGGCAGCTTTACTTTAAAAGATTTGGTTCCAGGGAGGTTTAGAGGAAAAAGAGGACGAAGATTTGCAGGCTTTCTCTAAACATCCAGATGGATCCCAGACGTAGTCCGGCCAGGAAGATCTGATTTTGTTTGTCTTCCTTCCCCATCTCTCTAAATAATTTTATCTTCAAAGCTTGACGCAGGTGTTAATTAACACTCCCAGCTCTCCTGAGAGGTAGGCAAGTGGAAACACCACCCCTATTAGTGAAGCCCAGGGGATAGCAGGTGCTGAAGCCTCAGGCAGATGAGCCACAGAGAAGCAGAGGGTGTCTGAGACCTTGTGACCCTGCCCTCAGACCTTTACTTGGACTTCCTGCTCACTTGGTTACCTTGGGAGCCACCTCACTTTCTCAGTGTCGTTGGTTCCCAGTAAAAGAGCTGAGGCTGTGGTAGAACAGATGTATGGTACTATGGGATGAGTAATGGGAAGTCTGAGGGCTGGGGAGAAATTCTGGTAAAATTCACTGTTACTGTGAATTTGAGATGCAGGATTCTGATTATGCCATTGATTTAATTCATTTTTTAAAAATGTACTGTGTATTTATTTCTGAGTGAGGTGTTCTGCAAAGAGAATCACTTCTTCCCAAAGAGCTAGCTTGCCGTTAGGGATCCTGCTGATGGGGAACTTGATCCTTTATATCCCATGCTCAATCCGTAAAGCAAAGGCTGGGGTATGGGTTTTGCTGTCTCTGTAGGTGATGGCTTCAAGCGTTGGACTCCCGACATCTGGAAATGGATGAGAAATCCAGGTGTGACTGTTGAATGTGGAGAACCTCTAGAGGCTATCCTTTCCCTTCTCCTTTAACCACTCACCTTGGTTGGCTCAGGAGAGGGGGGCCCTTAGGAGTCCTGTCCCTGGGGCTGTAGGTAGCACATCTTCAAGCCTGATGTTATCTAGGGCTGCCTGGGAATGATGGTAATGCCAGTGTGCCGGGTGTCCAGTGAAACTGCTGAGATGATACTGAACTTCCCACTCCAGAAAAGCAGCGAGACTGGAGTCTCCAGTGGTTTCTTTCTCATTCATTGGATATCTTGGGCATGATTCAAGGAACAAAGAAGTGGGTCATTTGATCCTAGAAGTGTTGTCCTCTTCACGGGTGGCAGTGGACTCTGCTTGCTTTGTAGGGAGCCCTGCTCCATCAGCCAATGTTAGTCCTCTTCCCTTGATGTTACAGGCTGCTGAGAACTAGCCCTAGACCTCTGCGTGAGGGTTCTTCTGCCGAAGACATCACCAGTGTGTGGAGCCTGCCCCACACCCACCCGCTGCCAAACCACGGCCTTTACCTGTGTCTTCCGCTGTTTCCCGTGCGACCCGTCCTGTGGGAGTGCCTCGTGGGCCGCCCCAGAGTTCACCCCACGCTCAGCAGCGCCAATGGTGAAGATGACAAGATCGAAGACTTTCCAGGCATATCTGCCCTCCTGCCACCGGACCTACAGCTGCATTCACTGCAGAGCTCACTTGGCCAATCATGATGAACTAATATCCAAGGTACAGGTTTCCAGCAGGCCTTCCTTGCCTACCCCGGGGAGGGCGCTTAGTGCTCCTAAGGTTACCGAGGTTTACAAGCTCTCACAAGACATCGGAATACTTGTACTTCACCTTTGTACAGGGAGGGGTGACCCACATGACTGTCTCAGTCAACTGAGAAATAACTCTGAGTTGGAGGGACGGGGTAGTAGTTTAATTTGTTATTTTGGAAATGAAGTGTCATCCTTGTTGGAGGCTTTGGGGGCTGGCAGCTTGCAGGCCAGAGAAGGGAAGCGGGGGGGAATTGATGGAGCCTTGTGCTCAGCTGGCTTGGTTTAGGTTGGCAGATGAAGAGCAAGAGTGCTGTCTGCTCAGAAGTTAAATTCTAAGAAAGCAGGGGGATGTCTTGTAAGAGGGGTTCCTTAGCAAGATGAGAGAGCCCCCATGAAGTTATGAGACTGTTGAACTACTAAAATGGGTGGCCTTTGGCAGGGACCAAAAGTGGCTTGTTGAAGAGCTGACCCTCTGGCCTGTGGAGGCCTTTGTGGCTTATGGCATGACATTTGGTCATGATCAGAAGAATGGAACCCTGTTTTTCCTGAGGAGCTTAAGCAGCTGCTTTCTAAAGTTGGGGTTGGGGGATTATTAATAAGTAAATAAACCAACAGGCCAGTTGTGCGATTCAGGAAATGAATCCTTCAGGCAGCATTCTCAGGGGAAGTGCTTCCCTCCTGGCCCTGGATTCCCAGGGGAGGAGAAACAGGTTTTACTAGGCTGCATGACAAAGAGAAAGAGATCATGGAAGACTTTTTCCTTAAAAAAGCATCTTGGGGAAAAAAAAGGAAAAAATTAAAAAAATAAAAAGTAAAAAACATCTTAACCCAGAACCTGCACTTCATGCCATTAAAGTAAAAACAAGCCAACCCACCTTTATGCAGACCCAGAGAGTGTTTCGTTTTGTTTTTAAATCAGTGTTTTTCATCTGTTTGTAAGAGCTGCTGGAAAAGGTGGCTGTTTTGCTTTCTGTGCCTCTGGTTTGGTAGCCCTAGCCAGAAAGAAATGAAGGATCTAGTCAGTGCTGGTAGAACAGTTCTCTCCAGCTGGCTGATTTGACCTGGGAAGAAGACCTTTGAAGAAAGCTGCCCAAACAACCACGTCTGTAGTGGTGAGGATTTTCATATCAGGCCTGAGGACCAAACCCCTCGTTCTGGCGCACCCCAGGGTCCAAGGTGACCACAGAGCTCGAAACATACAGGCCCGTAGAGCCCTATCCTCTGGCCAGTCTCTCACGCTGCCCCACTTTCTTTTCTTTACAGTTCTGCTAATTCTTCTCCTTTATGCTGCTATGTTTCAGCCAGCCTCTAGCTTCCTTCTCAGCTTTCCTCTGAATTTTGGGGAACCCCTTGAGCCTGGAAGTTTGAATGTGAGGAGGTGTCCGTGAGAGAAGAGAGGAGTTGGTCTCCTGGGCATTTGAACTGGGTTTGCGAAGTTGGAGGGGAATCGTGAGTTGTCTTTTTTTTTGGAAATCTCCAGAGAAATTATCTACTAGGGAAGCCAAGGCAAAAATTTTTTCAATACAAGGAAGGTATTTTAATACAATAAGGTATTTTAGCCCCATCTATGTACTAAAAACTGCAACTTGACACTTTATAAATGTTCTCTCACTTAACCTTCATGTGAAGTCTTTAAGGTAGGTGACATGAGTCATATTTTATGCGGATGAAGAAGCTGAAACTCATAAAACTTGTCCAAGATGTCAAATCAGAGGTTCAGAGAAGACTGATTACTCGGAGTGGGTGTTCAGGAGGGATTGCTGGAGGAGGTGATTCTTTGATCTGGCCCTAGTAAGATGGGCAGAAGCTGAATATGTGGAGATGGCAATGGCCTTCAGAATGTGTGTCTTTTCTCTTTGGCCTGGTATACAGGGCCTTTGGCAATTTGGTAGAGTCTAGCTTTTCCTTGTTAGGTCTCCAGCCAGTTCTCTACTTTGTTTTGGCCACTCAGAGCTAAGCCACGTTCCCTGAATGTGCAGGTAGGGGTATTTCAGGGCTCTGCTGTAGCCAAGAGTGTCCCTTCTCCTTCACCTCCCTCCTCTTTCTCCTGAGCTCTTTCTCACATGTCCTTGGGCCATGGCCTGTATCAGCTCTGTGTCTCAGGGTCAGAACCTGACCCATGGCCAGAGCTCAGTGAATGATAAATGAATAGATGGAGGTTGAGCCTTGGAGAAGACAAGTAGTGAGAAAAAAAAATACTTTGTTGGCCTCACGTCCTTCCTCTGCCTTTTGGGGCAGAAAGGCTCATTCACAAGTCCAGGCCAAAGTCAGCACAGGCTTCAGTTTCATTGGCTCAGGCCGGTACACAGATGGGGTGCATTAGAGCTTGATGATTTAAAGGGTTGGGTGAAATGCCTGACTGTGGGGAAAGTGTGAGGGAGCTGTGGCTGGCATCGCACAAAGGTTCCTTTATTTCACCCCACAGCCACCCCCGGCATTAAATAATCTATAGATTCTTATGCAGGTCTGCCTAATGGAAAGATCATTGCCCCAGCCTCCTCCTTGGAAAATAGGCCTTTCTTTTCATTTTTCCCCTCCTCTCTTCCATTTAAGAAAGTTCAAGGAGAGAATGTCTCTCCTGTTCTCCTCTCTTGACTTAATCTCCTATGCAGTTTCAGAATCTGCCCAGTGGGAGTTAGGAGCTGGGAAGCAGATAACTGGAGCTGGAGCAGCAGTGTAATTAAATGATACTTTGTACTGGTAATAGGGCCTTTCATCTGAAAGCTTGACATTTGTTTAGTGCAAAAAAAAAAAAAAAGAGAGAGAGAGAAAAAAATGTGAGTGCTTTCGTTATGAAGAAGGGGACACAAAGGTCTGAGTGTGTGACCAGCAGCAAACTGGGACTAGGACTGGAACATCAGGCTCCTTCCTATCCGTGTGCCTAAGCCTACATGGAAAATGTACAGTTAAACAGTTTTTGAGAACAGCTGGGTTCTTGTATGGCCATGGTGGTGGAAAGAATCCTGCACCAGGCTTTCTGCCTTCCCAGCTTGCTCTAGATCCCTAGAGGCCTAGTTGTCTGCAACCAACTATCCAATTTCCAAGCATCAGTTTCTCGCTCATAAAACAGGTGAAATAATAATTACTGTGTTTAAGGCTCTCTCAGACTATTAGGGTTGCTAAAACAAAATATAGACTAGTTAGCTTATAAACAATGGAAATTTGTTTCTCACAGTTCTGGAGGCTGGGAAGTCCAAGTTCAAGGTACCAGCAGTTTCAGGTCAGTGAGGGCCTGCTTTCTGGCTCACAGACAGTTCCTCACTTAATCTGACATGGTAGAAGGGAGGGTTCTCTCTCTGGCCTCTTTATAAGGACACTAATCCCATTCACAAGAGCTTTGCCTGATGAGCTCATCACCTCCCAAAGGCCTGATCTTAGGAGTGAGCATTTCAACAACAAATGAACTTTGGGGAGGCATTCAGACCATAGCAAATGTCTCTAGCAGCCAGCACTTACTGTGTGCTCACCATGTGCTATCCCCATAACAGTCCTGTGGAGTAGGCATACCTTACTTGGGGGAGCAGGTTTATCTCATTGGATTATTATGAGTCTCAGATGAGATCATGGACATGTGGGTGGTTTGCAAATTACAAAGCTCTATGTAAATATAAAGTAGTCAGTTTGCTTCTCTTGGCCTTGCTGTCCAAAAGAAAAGAACAAAAAGGCAAGGCGGTGGGTTGGAGGAGATTATTCCTGCCTGACACCAACCAGTTTTAGTTTGGCTAAGATGGCTTCACTTTAGAACCTGAGGCACAAGAGTTGGATATGAGAAGGAGCAATCGAAAGCCAAATGTATCTGTCGAAAGGTAACATGGCATTTTCTCTGTAATATGGGAGAGAGGGTAGGGGGGAAAACTCTTTGAATTGTTGGCAGAACTATCTAGGGAATGTGCTGAGACATCCTACAATTTCTTTCTTAGGGGGTGTTGTGGTCTAAATGCTGGAGTGTTTGCATGCAGAGGTATTTTGAATTGGCACAAGGAATTGCTCACACTGTTGTTTCTTCCCTAATGGTACAAGCCCTAGTATAAAAATATGCTTTGGTTATAAAATAATAATAGCTTCAATTGGAACAGTGAGTAGCCAGACCTGTGAGAATAATCTAAACACTCACTTTAGTGGACGTAATCTGTTATGGAAACCTGGGTCTTCACAAAGCTTTTGTATGAAAATTTTTTGTCTGTTGTCCTGCCTTTGCCTCCCTCCTGCCAACCCCTTGATGGATGGCATTGTGGAGTTGGCCATTTAGGAATGATACATTGGATTAATTTATCACAAACGCACTTTGGGGATTTGTGACGTCATGCCAACACAGGCTTGCTTTAGTGCTCTGGGTCCTGGAGGAAAGGGGCGGTAGGAACCGTGGAATGGGTATGCAGTGGACGTGCGATGAGGAAACTTTTTGCTCAGTCTGCAAGACTATTTACATTATTATTATTATTATCTTGAAATGAAGTCTCTCTCTTTCGCCCGGACTGGAGTGCGGTGGCACCATCTCAGCTCACTGCAGCCTCCACCTCCCGGGTTCAAGCGATTCTCCTGCCTCAGCCTCCTGAGTAGCTGGGATTACAGTCGCCCACCACCACACCCAGCTAATTTTTGTATTTTTAGTAGAGACGGGTGTTCACCGTGTGGGCCAGGTAGTCTCCAACTCTTGACCTCGTGATCTACCCGTCTCCGCCTCCCAAAGTGCTGGGATTCCAGGCGTGCGGCCTACGTTATTGTTACATCAGATCTGTAGGTCAGATTATCTTCTGGTGACAAACACGGAATTCCCAGAATTACCGACCATCTTGTTCAAACCTCTCTTCATGAGGAAACAAGTCATGGGTGACTCAGTGAGCAGCCTGAGGTCACACAGCCTCAGAGCCAGGGCCGTCTGCCTTGTACCCCTCCACGGTGTTCTGTGTGAGGAGCCCTGGCCTGACTTGTTTTCAGGCTCTGGGCAGTCCTGCTGAGGTTGGGAGC